TTTTTTTAAGGTATTCATAAGTTATATGGCCAGACTAAACTTGTAAGAAAGGACAGTATATTTCAGTCTTTAGCACTCCAAGCTCTGTTTCAATATTTTACACACACAAATTCCTTTTCAAAGGTACTGGTCATCCACATCTAGAAACAAAACTATCAAGTGAGCGTTTCACAGATTGGGAAACTGGCCTAATGCAGTATCTTTTCTAATACAACATTGAAATAACCAGGAACAATTACAAAATGCGACAACTTAACAATTCTTTAAGGACTATATTAAGCAAACATGTCTCAGACTGGTCTTTTTTCTTTTCCATTTTATTTGGCTGTGAGGTAGTTCAGGATATTTCAAACATTTCTATAACTGCAGTTATTGCCTATTACCAGGGGCTTACTTTTGGAAACATTACGCTACGAAAACTTTTTAAATTTCCATTTGAGCCCCATAATATGGTTGTTGAGAAGTTACTGTAATGCATATGGGAAACAAAAGGAGAAAAGGAAAATATATTCGTATGTATATGTATGATATAATCTACAGCTAGACAAAGCAAGAATCAAGGAAAATAAAAATGTGCTTTCAGGGTCCATTAAGATGAAACGTCTCAATTTACAGGAGTTTCCTGTCTGATTATAACACATACAAAATTAAATGCATAAATATTAATTTTATGTATCGCATAAGATGAAGGCAATGAAAAAAACAATGTTTACATTTATGGTTGACTCATTAGTGTTTTATTATGTGAAACACTAGGAGGCATCAGTTGGGTAAAAAAAAAAGAGTTCTTTTTTTTTTTTTAATGGTAAGAAATTAACATAGAAGTAATCAGCTTGCAAGTTTCAGATGTCCAAATGCTAAAGACTGTACATAATAATTAAATTATGCAAATAGCCAAAACTCTCCATTCTCCCGGACATATCACAGACATAGTTAATAATACATGGACAACATTTTATTTCTTAACTATTTTCAAACCAATCTACTGCGTTCACATGTGCAACACAAAGTATAGTTTTACTTTATACTCAGTATTTTAAAAATAACAGAATAAACACAAAGTAAGATGACTTACTTGTATTCCTCAATATTATACTTTTTGGTAAATCTGCAAAGAATTGACATCTTGTACGTACTCTCCTCTGAACGTAAGCTCTTAACAGGGTAAATGCTGTGAATTTAGTGTAGTCCCAAGCACTTTAAGAACTTTTAATTGCTACCTCAAGATATCCTCTAGGCAAAAATGATTTTAAAAATCCCAGGACAATCATCATATTGTATCACATTATATTTCCTCAGAGCAGTGAATAAACAGAACTTTTAAAATTTTGTGTAACAATGCCACAAGTTGCTATACCTTTTAGGATCAAGTAATACAAAACCAGTAAGGTCAAAACTGATTTTTACTTCCTTCTAATTGCATTAACAATGACTAAGCAAGAGAGTTATAGCTGTCTTATAGAATAATCAATTGAAATTGAAGTGTGTCTTGCCATGCTGCAGCAATCAGCCTTTATCTCTGCCCAATCAAAATGACATGTGAACTGCCTAATCCTTCTTTTGTAAGGCACGTAAGACTTTGTTGTCACTGTTGGTTTTGTGAATCGCTTCTATAAGCTGGTCTGATTTCCTAAAGATGACAGATCCCGGTGAATAGACAAGCTCTACTGCACTGCAGTCAATGAGAGGGTGAGATTAAGGTGGAGGACTAAAGACACTAGCTTTTAATCACCTGTCCACATGTAACATTGTGCACCAGTTCTGAGAAAATTACCTTAAAGCTGGACACAAGACCAAAACAATTCCTATACTTAAGGAAAACAGAAAATCAGGATTTTTTTTTGTTTACAGTTTTTCTTTTGCACAACCAGTACAAGAAACCTGAATTGTTCTTCTAAGCCCATTTTGCTTCTGAAATAAGATGCAAAGCTGTATTTTAAGACTTTTCAAATACCAGAATTATATCCTTACTCTTAAGGCTGAAGTCTTCTAGCTGTTTGCAATTACACAGATAATTCTTAGTATATTATGTCTCAGTTGCTACAGAGCCTAAGTATGGGCATAGAAAAATTTCCCTGTTGAAATCAAATACCAAGATTTTAAAAGTTCAAAATACATCAAAAATATGACTGCTTTGGTTATTCTTCAAAATGCTGAAGGAGAGAGTATAAACTTGAAATTATACGACATCTATATATGCTCATCTTTATAATATGTGTTTTCAAAAGAACACCATCACATTATATATATGATTTTTAGATAATGTGTGTAATTTAGAATAATGATGTCCAACAGGTAAAATGGAGTCTATGTATCAAAAAAAAAAAAAAAGCAAAAAAAAAAGCTTTTTTTTTTTTCTTTCAAACACCTGATACTTTCTTATGACTGCTAGCTCAATGAGATGTAGAAATACTACTTAGCTGTCTCTGAAGATGAACTGAACTATTTTGCTGAACAAGAAATTAACCTGCGATAAAGAAAAGTAAAATTAAAATAAATGAAGACGGAAAAAGTATTCAATTCACAACTGCTGCTTAATTCCTTATCTTCTATAAAGATACATTTATCTACTAAATAATGAGTATCAAAATCTTTCAAAGGTAAACTTTTGGAAAAAGCTTAAGAAAGCCTCATTTTCTTTGTCTGCAATGCTTTACATATCTCAGAAAGCACAGCTGTTTAAGATAAGTATCTGTTTTTTGTTGTTGTTGTTGTTGTTGTTGTTTTTTTATACATGTTGCAGACATGCAAATAAAGAGAGATATTAAAATAATATGAAATTTCAAGAACATTTTTGTGACCCTGTCATTAAAGAAAATTTGCAGCATTCATGTCAATTTTCTTTTGACACTCCAATACTGGAAGCTGAGAAACATAATGCTAAAATATTTAATCTCACACACATTATTTGATACCTTTTTCTATAAGGCTCTTAAGACTAAGTTTCTTTTTTTCTTGGTCAAGTAAACTTAAGAGTATTCAAACATATCTGATTTCCAAATTCATTTACAGGACATCTAAAGTGGCATTCTATTCACCTTTTTCCAAAGAGAGCTATGGGACAGGCAAGAGCTTTAAGCATTTTAGGGACCTGACCCTGCAAAATATTTTTTATGTAACTTCTTCATTTTCACACAAGTTGTCTCAGCTTTATCAGTGGGACAAGCTGTGTAAGTACTTTTTGCAGGAAAGGTTTTCATAGTCAGGTCCCCACATTACCTTCTGATACTAGCTACATAAAGTATATCAGTATATATACTGATAATATAAAATAAATATAAGTATAATAAGTATATTAATATAAGTATAATAAATATAAATTAAATATATAAACAAGTTTTTAAACTAAAAAGATGTGTACTACGAGGAACATGGAAGCCACAAATTAAGGGCCATTCACTCAAATTCATCCCTAAAGAAATTTTCCATTACTTCCAACGGGACTTAAGTGTTAGCAGAGACTTCAGAATTAGACCCAATATGAACTATGTATTCATTAATATAGAAAGAATAATATAATAGGGGTTTTAATAAAATTGATAAGGACAGAAACTCTTGCGATTATTTTTTTCTGAGTTGGGGTTAGGGTCCTAAAATAATGCAACAAAAATAATTTACGAAATAACAAATCCCAAAGTGGCCAATTGCATTAGTGTTTAAACTGGAAATCCATATGTAATACAGAGGTTAAAACTGGTTCACAGGTGGTTTTATTTCCATGCCCTGCCAAGCCTCTAGGGATTAGAGTTATTATATTCCATATTAACAGTAGTTTTCAACCACAATACCCTGGAAAGTGCCAGTAAAAAAGAAAACTAGTCCCATTTACATCTAAAATATTTGGTTTATCATCCATCCTGTAGTTCTTTTAAAGTAAAGATATGAAACTAGGACATTTGCCATTAAGCTGATCAACGGATATGTGCTATGAAAATGCATTCTGTGTCAAGACAATTCTTTTCTGATCACCAGTAAAACACAGGCAAATTGTATTTCTCTACTAATTCTCTTAAATATTTTTTCTTAAGTTGTGTATAACACTATCTGATTTTAGGATACAGGTATTTGCTAATAATAATTATTACAAACAATAAAGGAAATAGAACTCTTCTAACTCTTCTATAACAGACAATGCTTAAGTTCCCACAATAATTCATTACGTTTTATTTGGATTTTTTTTTCCCTTGAGAAAATTAATGATTAATTTATCCTTCTTTTGCTTTTCAGGCTGACAGAAGGTCACACTAAGTTTCATAGAAAATGCTAAGTATTATAGTTACATAATGTACCAATAGCCTTACAAGTCTCTTATTTACATTAAACTTTATCTTAGCCTATAAGTACATCAACTAAAATAGCCAGTTTTGTGACTCCCCTGTATTCAAAAATACAAGAATTACTGAAAGTACTATGTAAAGACTAAAACATACTATTCCCAGAGGTTCGTTGGCTATGACTTAAGTACCCACATCGATGCAAGGGGTCTCTCCATCTCAAACTTAAGTACTCACAGGAAAGATGCACAAAGTTAAACAGTTGCAAGCATGCATTACCTAAACTCAAGAACTGAAGAGCCTATGATGCAATGAAGTTCAAGAGCGTTTCCCTCAAACTGGATTGTTTCCTTAGTCTGAAAAATCAGGGTGCAAGCACTACAAGGTCATAGCATTTGGTGAACTATTAAAACAAAACAAGCTTCAAACACTTCAGGGTATCAAACATGGAAATGACATAAACTAACTTCATCAAAGTTACCACATGGACAAAGACAAGTCTGCAGTAATTTGAATAGCCAGTGATTTAACTATGTTACTTGTCTGAAAAGTTACTTGTAAGCAACTGACAGAACAGTCATACTCTTAAAAAGTCTGCAGGCAACCTCACTCCCAGTCTGCATGCACTGACTGACACATTCTTCAAAGGCAATAGTAAACGTACGTAGGGCTTCTGCCCTATGCCCCCTCTATTTTATTCCGACGCTGAATTTCACATGTACTTACATGATAAACATTTAGCTGTTTGGGTGATCAGACTAGTCCTGGAGATATTTTCCTTTCATAGGAAAGAGCAAAAATCCCCTTACTTCTTCCAGCCTTAAATATTCGCCACCTGGTTCAACATGCAGCCTCCTTGAATCACACACACAACCTTCGAAGTCAATCCAATAAGGAGCCAGAAGACGTCTGGGGTGTGAGTGTGTGTGTGTGTGTGTGTGTGTGCGCGCGCGCGTGTGCGTGTGCGCGCGTGTGTGCGTGTGTGCAGCGTGGAGGAGGAGAAAGTGGCTGAGCTGCTGGTCGGATTAAAAGTAACCGGACTCGTCCCGAGAGCGTCCAGGAAGGAAGTGACAGCAGGCGAATGGGAAAAGCCGAGCAGCTCACAGCCTTTGTAACATCGCGGAGGGGAAGGGGGAGGCAAGGAAGGGATTCAAACTACACGCCTGACGAGGTGTCTGTCCTTGTCTGCTGCTCTCCCTCTTCCTCCCTTTTCTTCTCCGCGTCTCTATCTCTCTCTCTCTCTCCCACAATCCCAACCGAGTGACTCTCTCCTCCCGAGCTGGAGAAATAATCAGTTTCACTCTTGCAAAAAGGGGGCGGGATCAGATCCCGAAAGCGTTTTAATAAAACAAACATAGAGCAGCGGCAGCAGCAGCAACTCCTTTCCTTGCCCCTCTAGTCTAAACTAGATTGATAAATTACTCCACTACACTACTTTAATTATGTATATGGTATGCAGAATAAATCACTGAACATCAGCACCTCAATCAAGCACTTTTTAAATGATAATTGCATCTTGGGCGAATCAATCTTTCCATTCCTGACATTTTGCTAATTTTAGTTTTACGGTGGGGGTAATGGCATATGCCACACGCAAACCTAATGACAATCCTTTATTATACCGCGCCACGACAACGCGGCGAGCCACTGCATATTTTCCCCCTTCTGGCGAGGTACAGTAGCGTGAGGGCGCAGATCTCTGCGAGGAACCAGGGGGGTGGCGGTGGGGAAACACATCCCGGGGCCGCTCCGAAAGCGGCAGCGCAAACGCTGCGCACGCCGAGTTTGCGGCGAGCCAGGCGAGGGGCTGGGAACATCCCCCCCCTTCACGTCCCCCCCCCTCCGGGCACGTCCGAGCCCTGCGAGCGGGCAGGGACGGCCGTGAGAGGCCGGCGAGGAGCTTTTCGGGAGGGGACGGCGCTGTCAGGGGGGCAGCAGAGCCTCATCCATCGCCGCTGTCACCAGCCGGCTCCTGCAGCGCCCCGGGGACGCCGCTTTGCGCCCCCGCTGCGCTTCGTGTCCCGTCCCCTGCTCCTTGCCTGCCGGGGCTCCTTCTCCGGAGCCCTCTGTCTGCAAATCCACACAAAAGTCCTCGGGCTCCGCACCCGGCCCCGGGCGCGGAGCTGAAGGGGTGGCGAAGTTTGGGGCAGCATCCCTCAGCCTTAAAACCCTGCTCTCCTCCCCGTGCCCCGGCCCAAATCACAGCCGTCTCTCGGGGATGGTCTCGGCTCAGACTGATCCACGGCCGTGCACGCCGTATAAAAGGGCAGGACTTTTTTTTTTTTTTTTTTTTTAATAGGTGCATTTGGTCTTACAACCAGGACTGTGCTGTATGTGAGCTTGAATCCAAATCAGGCGCGTGTAATACTCTGCGAGTAAAACTGGACTTTGCAGATACTTGTTTTTATTTTCATGTAGATAGCCAACTTCTACAACCCTTTGAGAGCAGCAGGGGAGTTTATAAAGGCACAGACCATTATTTTTATGATAGATTACGGTACTGGAAATAGGAACAGCATGCATGATAAAACCAAAACACTGAATTCAAACAGCAGTGATAAATATATATTTGGTTTGTTTTAATACAAGTTCTTCGTCTTGCAGTCTTTTCCCCTATAAACATCTCATTGGGCCACTGACCTACTTTGGAAGCTCCATATTTGACAGTGAATAAATGTCTTCTAAATTCTACTGTACTTAAAACACGGATGCGCAAAGCACGGGCAGAGCAAAATGAAGCTCTAACAAGCATCCTGCGATCGTTCTCAGCTCAGATTCCTGGAGACCTGACCTCCACTGACTACACGTCTCAGGGTGCCCTAAATCTCCCGGGGAGATTTAGACACAGAGAATAGACAACTTTTAACCGGCAGACAGTTATGTGGTATAAAATACCCCGACAAGAGCAGTGCCGATGTGCCTTGAACCACCAGGCAGCCAGACATCAGCCAAACACCTTGTGGATGGAGGTGAGAGGCACAGGAGTGTGGCAGGGTCAGCAGTGGAGCCCAAGTAACACTGGGGAATTTAAACTTTCTCAGCCACAGGTCTGGCATGAAGCGCAGGAGGAGAGGAATATGGAATAGTTACATGGGTCACATCGCCTTGTTATGCCTCTTCTGCAGGCAATTTTGGTCTCCCGGAATGGCACCCAACTTTCCAGTAATATTCATATTTTCTTAGTGTCAAAAATAGAAAACTGTGTTAAGACTTCACACTTTTGTGCTCTAATTGAAAATGACTATCATCTGCTTTATTTTGTGCAGGATATGTAAGTTTTCAGGTTTCTGGCTAGTTGATAACACAGCCCTTCAAGTGGCAAGACAGAATTTGAGTACTATCATGTCCTAAAAGCAATTATCAGAGTAGGCAAGTATTTCAGAAAATAAAATATACAGCAGCTTAGCACATTTACAACACCTTCATGTGGGCACTGGTGGCCTAATCTTTAAATAGTTGTGACCTTCACATATTGGGAGTATCTTTAAGCCATGCCAAGTTTTTGTCATGAGTACAATTCATCAAATGCATGTAAAGGACACCTCAATTTTTAAAACAGGGCTCAGATGCTAGGTGGACAAACAGATATCAGGAAAGGGATTGTGCTTTCTCACTCATATCAGGGTTAGATAAGGCATAAATTTGTGCAATATCTTTTGAAGTATTTAGGATTTTTTTTTCTATTTTGCTGTATTTAATTTTAAAATCTGGAGTAATTTCAAATAGTGAAAAACCTTTGTTCTGGTGTCTGTACTTGTACTGATGTTCCACAAATGCAACCTTTTCAAATTTCTGGCAGGAGACTCAAATCCACTCTTTCTGTTGTTGACAGGTCGTGTGTAGGTCTGCTGACATTTTTTTTTTCCCTCAGTCCAGCACCTGAGGCATTCACCGTCTTAAACAGCGACACATCAGTCAAAATGCAATAACTATAAAATCAGACCTCCAAAGTTTTATCAAAGAGTGAAACGTGCCCAAGTATCTCTTTCCTTTACAAGTATGATTATCTCAAGGTGGGCTTAGAAAACACTCCTTTGAAGATGATTATCAAAGTCCATTTTTGTTCTTTTGTGGCTGCTGAACATACCTTTCCCTTAGGAGAAATGAGGTTGCCAGCTAACATCTTTTAATGGCGTTTAAACTGAGAAGAGGTAAGGTTACTATGAAATGATCCACCTCCTTTGCATCCTAACCCTGGGGTGGCTTGGTTTCTATTTTCCGTTCAAAGTTCTGCTCAACCCCACTCCACTCCACGCCTCGCTCTCTTCCACCACCTCCCTATCTTGTAAGAGCAACGCAGTATAACACTTCTTCCCATGTCTGGCTGCTTTTAAACTTGGCCCACGCTGGGTGCAGCGCTTGAAGTGAGCTTTACAAAATTATTTTAAAGTGAGCTGGGGCGGTTGCCACAGCAACCCACCCTGAGAGAAATCGAGGCTATAGATTAATCTACCCCATAAGATTATTCAACAGTACTGTATTTGTTCTTCGTTCATTCAGAATATTCCCTCAATCCATATTCTTTTCTGACGATCAAAAGATATAAACTCGGATAATTTCAAGGATACTTATTCCAGGAGCACAATTTAAATGCTTTGCAAACCACAGCACAGAGCTGAAATGTACATGATTCTTTGCAAAATCATTTAATTGCAAAAAATATTTGCAAGATAGGCACAGATGACACATGAACTTTAAATAAAATGGCATGCCATTACTAAAATGGTGTTATATACATCAGGCAATGATTACAGAAAACCTTTGTCACAGGTGTACCTGTAAGTACATAATACAGCAGAGCTTGCTCTCCAGGCTTTGCTTTTAACATTAAATCTGAAAACAATAAATAGTACTTTGTAATACCAAATGCAATAAATATTAAACACTCACCACATACACCCTCTTTATTGTCAAAATCATCCGCCTCCAATGCTTTACTTAATCTTTTCCATAGTAGTTACTTCACAGTTTACAATTCGTGTTCGGCACCTTGGATGTTTAAAAGCACAAAAGTAGTGTATTATTAAAATGCAAACCCATAGTACTTAAATATATTTAAAGAGATTTATGAAACAATTTCTATAAAAAGAATACGAGCCTTTACCGATGTGCACTTAGGACTAAAAGGAGTATCACTTGTAAGTAACTTGAAGTTTTCAGCTGTCATAAACTCCATCTAAATCCTACCTCAGGGATGCTGCGCTACCCATAAAATTACAAAAGCATTGATCTCGGACCCTACTAATCCTCCAGCAGGTACTTAGACAATAATTTACGCGCCGATGTACACTTTGAAAAGAAGCAGTTGTCCCATTGTTTAATAAAGGCCAATTGAAAACACGCCGAAATGTTAAAGCCCAGGCTGTTAATTCCTTCCCTGTTGCCCACAGCTGCTTGCTGTGCCGCTGACCCAGGACGTTCCCCTGCGGGAATGCAACACCCGGCACCCCAATGGTGGCTTTACAACAGAAACGCCCGTTTTTGGACAACGTGGGTGTGATTACGTGTGGGGAGGGGGGCGCCTGAGCCCGCAGCAAACACTCGGCTCCAGGGCGTGCATCGGGGCAGCGGCGGCTGCGCTCCCACCCCATCCCCGTTCCCTGTGCGCGTTTGGCCGGTACCCTCCTAACGTTTGGAGTTAATTTATCCTCCTAATGAGCGAGGAGGCGGTGCTGGGTCCCTGCAGCCCCGCCGGAGGGCGCCGTGCAGTGTGTGTGAGTGTGCGAGTGTGTGTTTCTGCTCCTGGAAGGCTCCCTGGCCCTTGCACCCCTTATTTTACCCTGGAGTAAAACTCATGGCCTCCGCGGGGACCTTGGAGGTAGCCTCATCGGCGTCATTATCTCTGACTTCCCAGGCTGTCAGAAAGTTGCTTTTGTTTGTTTGTTTGTTTGTTGTTTGTTTATTTCCCCCTTTTTACAAAAAGCGGGATTTGTTTTCATCGCATTTTCCCCTCGATGGTAGTTTCAAGGGCCTTAGCGGGGAAGAGACTGATTGCAGAGGGGAAAAGGCTGCCAAATGCACCAAGTCAACAATGAAAAGGGGGGTTGTTTGTTTTGTTAAATTGATCCAGTTCTAGTAATCTGAAGTGTTTCATTGTTACAAAAGGCAGTTTCTGAGGCTGTAACTTGCAACTTGGTATTGTCCTCTAACTACCTCACAAACAGTTGTCCAAATATTATTTTTATCTGTGATTTTTTTTTACTGTAGTGTTTGCTTTGTTTCATTTTTAACAGTGTTTTAAAACTATGATAAAGAGAAACTTCTTTGTTGA